ACAGATAGATTCTCGTAAGATCTGGTAGAGTTCTCGTTAAACTGAAGTCTGAACATGAGTTTGCACCGTTGACGTTGTGCTAGACACGTAAACCAAGATTTTCTCAATATTTATGTTTGAAATGTTTATACATTTGAAAGCAACACTGTCTCGCTGCTTCCTAGCTCTGCACAATGAATATACCGTCAAACTAATATCGGCACTTGAATGCATTACGTGCATAACATCAATTTACATATTGCGTAGTATCTCAAAGATTTTCTCAATATAATACACGTCTGAAATGTTTATACATTTGAAAACAACACTGTCTCGCTGCTTCCTAGCTCTGTACAATGAATATACCCTCAAAATAATATCGATACTTAATTGAATGTCCGTAATGCATAACATCGATTTATATATTGCGTAGATTCTCAAAGATTTACTCAATATTCACATCTAAAATGTTTATAATTTGAAAACAACACTGTGTCGCTCCAGCGCTCCTTCTTAGCATCGTCACGCCATCGTGATCTACGGCTTGATAGCGCATGCGCATTTGCGTTGCTAAAGAAAAAAATGGGTTTTCCGGGTAGTCTTCTAACCTTTCCCGCCCTAATTTTCCCCGCCCGCAACCTCCCCTAAAAACCGTCTGCTACGCAGGCTAGGGTAGTCTAGGACCTGTATATGAGTTTGTATGCATTTCATTTAGCACAGGTAATCTCAATTGTTTTAGGGTAAAATGACCATGGCGGTCAACATGGCATATGTGCCAAAAGCTGAATCCGGGACGAAAGTCCTGAAAATGACCCCGCCCTGAAACGGCAGTGTCAACATAGCTCTAACTTCAGAAAACAAAAAGCGATAGTCTTTCTGAAGTGCTTATAGTGTTTAGAAGGGTTGCTTTAGGGGTGGTCATTGGAAGAAAAATTTGTCTAAGTATAATATTTTACAAGAAAATGACTATGCACCACCCCAGGTAAATTGCTGATTATGCATAAAATAACTAATATGCCTGGTAGAAATTAAATATTCTTATTTCCTAAAAAAAATTATCATGGGGTTAAAAACTATGCTTAATTTAATGTAAATATTGTTGATTTCATAAGGATTGTCATTGTTTTCTTTAAATATAATAAATTTTATTTCACTTTAAGTGAAATAAAATTTATTATATTTAAAGGAAACAATGACAAAGTGAAATAAAATTTATTATATTTAAAGAAAACAATGACAATCCTTATGAAATCAACAATATTTACATTAAATTAAGCATAGTTTTTAATACCCCCCACGAAAACGCGATTTCAGCCATATTTTGCCGTCTTGTTTGCTTTTTATCGCCGAATCACGCAAATATCCAGACTGAATTTGAGGGTGTATTTCCGAAAGATCTTCGGCGCAGAACAGCGACTCGAACAAAAATTGGCGCACGTTTTTGGCGCAGATTGATCGCAAATATTGATCTGGCGCAGCAATTTGGCGCAGAATGGTCCCAAAGATCCATTTGGCGCAGCAAGTTGGCAAAGATTTGGTGAAGCAATTGTGCATTTATATATTAGTATATTTGAAAATATGATTTGAGTGGAATGAAAAGCCAAATTTCGAAAATTCGGTGAAAATTTCGGAAATTCTCGAAAACCGCATATTTCTTCGCGACAATTTTCTTGGCGCAGGTTTTGGCGCAGCCACAGAATAAGGCACACAGAAGGGCAACCCTGGCCGCCATCTTCCTAGCCAGTCGATTACATTTTCTGGCCAATAAACGCGCTGTATTGGCTGGCCGCCACATGGGCGTACCGGAAGGAAAAAATTAGGGGGGCGGAAAGAAAATTGCCCGACTTTTCGTAAAATTGCCCGACTTTTCGTGATTTTGCCCGACTAGTTCCAAAAAATTTTTCCCGGAAAAATTTTTTTGGCGATATCATCCAGTTATTGTACTTTTACATAATCATAAATGGCTGAAGATGATTTCAAAGAAGGTTTCATCCACTTTTGAAACAGTGCAGAGTATTTTATCTTCGATAATGTGTCCTTCGCTATCTCGCAAATTGCCGCCATGTTAATGGCTCGCCGCTTCTCTGCCCGATAAATGCCACTTCTTCGTTTTCATATGTATTTAGATTACATTATCCAAGAGTACTTCATTGTAGAATAGTCCCAATCCAAAAATTGGAAGTATTATTTGTACTTGGGAGGAAAAAACCTCCCAGTACAATTGTCCTGTTAGAATTCAAAAGAAATAATTTAAAAGTCACGCGCAAGTTCGCGAAAACACCTCGTGGGCTACATAACAGGGGGGTGAATATTTTCACGAAACGTTTGTTCGCCACCACAGCAACCTAAGTTAGGTACATTATATTTTTTGTATTTTTATAATTGATGATAAATATACGCAAATATTTATTGTTTTTATCAAAAATCACAAATATACAATAAATATAATGTACCTAACTTAGGTTGCTGTGGCCTGTGGTGGCGAACAAACGTTTCGTGAAATTAAAATATTCACCCCCCTGTTATGTAACCCACGAGGTGTTTTCGCGAACTTGCGCGTGACTTTTAAATTATTTCTTTTGAATTGTAACAGGACAATTGTACTGGGAGGTTTTTTCCTCCCAAGTACAAATAAGATTTCCAATTTTTGGAATGGGACTATTCTACAATGAAGTACTCTTGGATAATGTAATCTAAATACATATGAAAACGAAGAAGTGGCATTTATCGGTCAGAGAAGCGGCGAGCCATTAAAATGGCAGCAATTTGACGAGATATCGAAGGACACATTATCGAAGATAAAATACATTGCACTGTTTCAAAAGTGGATGAAACCTTCTTTGAAATCTTCTTCAGCCATTTATGATTATGTAAAAGTACAATAACTGGATGATATTTGCGTGATTCGGCGATAAAAAGCAAACAAGACAGCAAAATATGGCTGAAATCGCGTTTTCGTGGGGGTAAGTGAAATAAAATTTATTATATTTAAAGAAAACAATGACAATCCTTATGAAATCAACAATATTTACATTAAATTAAGCATAGGTTTTAACCCCATGATAATTTTTTTTAGGAAATAAGAATATTTAATTTCTGCCAGGCATATTAGTTATTTTATGCATAATCAGCAATTTACCTGGGATGGTGCATGGTCATTTTCTTGTAAAATATTATACTTAGACAAATTTTTTCTTCCAATGACCACCCCTAAAAGCAACCCTTCTAAACACTATAAGCACTTCAGAAAGACTATCGCTTTTTGTTCTCTGAAGTTAGAGCTATGTCAACACTGCCGTTTCAGGGCGGGGTCATTTTCAGGACTTTCGTCCCGGATTCAGCTTTTGGCACATATGCCATGTTGACCGCCATGGTCATTTTACCCTAAAACAGTTGAGATTACCTGTGCTAAATGAAACGCATACAAACTCATATGCAGGTCCTAGACTATTACCAATATAGTGTAACAATTTGTATGAAAATAAAATATTATTATTATTATTATTATTAAGTAAACTTAGCAAAAATATCAAGGACTTACATTCTTTTTGTGCTTGCATCAATGTTGCACAACTGAGGACAACCTCTTATATTGTTTATGTTACAGTATATGTAAGCTCATCAAAGCCCACGGCTCTTGTGTTATGCTTATACTTGCGTTGCTTCATTGAAAACCATACATGCAGGCTTTAAATAAACTGGGTTCATGTAACTAAAAAGCACAGCATGAGCGCTGTTCTTTTGAACGTTTTAAAATAAAAGTTATTTACAAGACAGTGATGAATGTTAAAACTGGCTTAACTTGAACTTAATTTAGTGAACATTGTGTAAAAAGATATATATACTATACATGTAATATATATATATATATATATATATATATATATATATATATATATATATATATATATATATATATATATATTTGCTTGGGCGTGCGTGCTTGCGCGTTCTTCTGTCGTGTATGATGGCACACGTTGTTCGAATGCACGTGAATGTACTTTCCCGCCAGAAATTGGTTT